TTATTATTTTTATTATTGCTAGTATTATGTGGAGGTAGAGCTTTTAGGTGCTCATAATGAGGCAAACTTTTTTCTGCCAGAATTCGTCTCATCAGCCACAGCTGAAGCCGCAATTCATCTTAACCTTTTAATTCTTCTAACATTTCTATTTCGATGGAACACTATTCTCCAATGTGGTTGTATTGGTCATTGTCAGACATTGACGGGCGAGCTATTATGTATGTCTTATTATGTAGCGTCTGTGATGATCCCAGCTTGTAGACAAATAGATAAAGAAACAAAGAGTACTAAGACACCATTACATCTTGTCTCTCCGCCCCCGTAGATATGTGCGATGGTTCCTGCTGTCGGCGCTGCTGATCCCGAAGACTCTCCACGGACACGATAAGAGCGTGGATCGCCGAGAGAGGTGAGCCCTAAGCCAATCAGCGTGAAGGTCAAGATGTGAGCGGTCACGAGCTGTAATGGCGGGACGGAAACTGCAGACGGCCGTGCTACAACTTTTTCTGTTGGTTGGGATTCAGTTCCTCGCTGTGCATGGTAAGTCTGGTTTCTTTTAATTTAAAAATGAAAATGAGAAGGTTTTAACTGATTTCACCGATAATCTCGATAGCAGACTTAAATGTAGGTGTTTTTTATAATCCCAACGACACAATTTAGATGATTTAAGAGGCGAGCTTTCGATCTTGCCTTTCAGGGCCAACCTTGACTGAGAAGGATACAATATCCATGGAGAAATTCCGGGATACCCGAAAAAATGTTCTCCCCACTCAGAAATCGGAATCAGGTCTCCTGCGTGCGACAGGGAAGCGCTCAAGCACTACACCACAGACCGTTAACATGTCTGAATGCCACTTCGATTGTGTTTCTCTCGGTAGATCTTCATATTTTGCTGCCTGTGGTTGGAGGACGTCAGTTAAAAATTCACTTTCACGATATCATTGTTGTTTGTAACGTCTCTGACAATCTATCGTATTGACTCGAGCACCATACGATCATCGTATTGGAGTCTACCAACGTCGGAAGTGTAGCGCGGCTAGGCACTTCGCCGTCACACACAAAATGACCAAGTTTGATCCCTGGGGGAGGGGGGGGGGTGATTTTTATCGAGTACTTCGGCCTTTCTAATGGGATATTGTATCCCGCTCAACCCGGGTTGGCCCTGTCAGGCAGCGTCGAAAACCCGCCTCCTAAATGGTCTAAATTGTGTCGACGGGGGTGTTAAAAAGACAACTGCATTAGATCTATAAATGAAGTATGAGGGTCTTCAATAAAGATATTTGGTCATTTGAACACAACTCTCTCGTTTTCTAGCCGTCGTTCTTGGGTGTTAGTGTGTTTCTGTGTGTGCCTGTCGATCTGTCCGTCTGTCTTACTAACTATATAATTTCTGAATGTCTGTCCGTCTACATCTCTCCCTTTTTTGGTTCTTCATAGTCTGTGGAATTTCTTTTCGCTATTCTTGATGCAGAAGTTGGTAAGATTTTAGGACATCCAAAATGCCCCCCTATATCACTGACCGTTTTCAGTTACTCTCAGGTTTTATTGGGTGTTTTCAAATGTTTTAAAATGTGGCTATAAAGAAACATGCAGGCAAACCAGCAGAATAAAATGCAACATTGATTGATTAATCAAGACGTTGTGATTTTACAAGTATTAAAGAACGCTGAAATTTCAAGCTACAGCGGACGTGTGGGTGGCCTGTCTACTTGCTTACGCATTTCTTTTCATGCTCACATAGACTCATAGAGACATATTATTTGTCTACAACATTACACAATTGCGTATACTACTACTGATCTACTGATCGTGTGTCCTCAGGGAAGAAATTAATTAAAACAGTTTCACTGGATTTGCCGAGACCAAGGTAATCGAAAGCTATTCTCAGTAAGAAAACATTTCGAGCTTAAGATTATTTGTCCCCGTTGCTCCTTAATGAATCCCATCTCCTGTTTCTGTTGTACAAATCGACCAGCAAATCGCTGCAAAAGTGTGCCACCACGCTTTTTTTTCTTTTCTTTTTTTCTTTTTTTTTCTTTCTTTTAAAAAAAATCTAAGCTCATATCTAGTACACTGGGATCGATATATCTTTACAGTCCGTCTGGAACATTTAATCTGACAAGACTTGTCCAATAACTCAGTCTCGTACACTTTACGTTCGCCACAGTGTGCTGAAAATGGAGGAGAAATGGAATCCGTGCGGGAAAATAAATATTAAATTAAATTATTTACTGGGACGTTATGACATCAGTCGAGTAAATAGGAATATCATCTTTCTTTCCCCACCCTCCTTCCGCTCTCTGTTTCGCTCACTGTCTCTGTCGCCCTCTGTCTGTCTATCTGTCTGCCTGTCTCCCTCTCTGTCTCAGTCTCTGTCTCTGTCTCTGTCTCTCTCTCTCTCTCTGTCTGTCTTTCTCTCTCTCTCTCTCTCTCTCTCTCTCTCTCTCTCTCTCTCTCTCTCTCTCTCTTTCTCTCTCGCTGTCTGTCTGTCTCTCTCTCTCTCTTTCTCTCTCGCTGTCTGTCTGTTTCTCTCTCTCTCTCTCTCTCTCTCTCTCTCTCTCTCTCTCTCTCTCTCTCTCTCTCTCTCTCTCTCTCTTCATACCGCTGTCTTTCTCTCTTCCTGTCATTCTGCTTCACCCTCTCTCTCTTTCTTTCTCTCTTTTACTCCATGTGTTTTCGTGTGTCTCAACGAGTATGCAAGCGCGTGTGAGTGTGTATGTTTGTATGTGTGTGTGTATGTATGAATGTGTGTGTTTGTGAGTATGTGTGTGCATGCATTTTGCACTCCGCATAAATTTCTTAGAGACACCCAGTAACCCTGTTTATGTCCCAAAATAAAGGCAATATTTTTTGTAGAAACGAATAAACTCTCTACTTCGAAGAAAAACCCCCCCACTTTTCAGTTGGTAAAATATTTCTAAAGGTTTATAGGTGTGCCGGTGTCTGCTGTATTTGGTTGCTTTTTTATCTATGCAAAACATGCTGGATCAATAAAATTCGAATCGGATCGGATAAATCGGAAAATTTAGAAGTATCTGACCCAAAACAAAACAACATTTCCTGTTCTGTACATTTTGCACAATCGAACTAGTACCTGTCAAGCTTTAAAAAAACACAGAAAAAGAACACCCCCCCCCCCCACCAACCAACAACGATAAAGCTGTTCCATGCATTTGGGGCCGTTGGTCTAGCTGGTATGCCCTGCCCACACTGAAACCTTTCATCATTTCTCTTAGCTCTTCCTGGCACGCGAGGGCATTTTCGATTACTCCAAGATCAACACATTTAGCAATTGAAATGAGGTCTGGCACTTTTAACTCAGAGAATTATGTCTGGACTGCTTCTGTCTACTATGCAAATTACGATCTGACTTCTTTTTTTATCGGGCGTGTCAACATTCGAAGGACGACAGATCTTGGGTAGGAAACGTGCACACGATGCGATTTTTTGTGAAGTCGTGAATCTGAGCAGCTGTCTGTCTGTCTGTCTGTCTGTCTGTCTGTCTGTCTGTCTGTCTGTCTGTCTGTCTGTCTGTCTGTCTGTCTGTCTGTCTGTCTCATATCCTGGTTGATACATGGTCGCGATGTGATTTTCGTGATGTCGAAAATGTGCGGTTAGTTTACAACATAGAGCCTGTAATCCATATGAATAACTTTGGTTCGAATCCACTGCAGGTCAGATCTTGCCTTTTTTTAAAAGTGTAGGCGTAAGCTGACTCTAAATCTACGCCACGTGCAAACTCGGCAAATGTCCACTCGTTGCACGAGCGCGAGTGTGCAAATGGGGCAATTTTCGCCGGTCTTGTTCCGCCGGTCTGGTTTCGCCGGAAATGGCGTATACTTTGCACTCATGCTAGGTGCAAAAGTTTCTCATAGTGTGCACAGTGGCTTACTTATTGGTAAACCTGTGCCATTGTTGAGTGTAGGAAGGCACTCATCCAATGTGCACTTTCTTTAAAATAAAATGACAAAAGAAAAAAAAGAACCCCCTGAACTCGGAAAACAATAGGGCACAGTGAAGGGAATCACTCTTCAAGAACAGCGCATAGACGCACTTCCGTTCACAGTGCTTAACGTCACAGTGTTGTTTATTCCATTTGGTTCTGACGAAAGATTAGCTACTCACAATCCTATGTCCATTGACGTTCTTCCAAGAGATGTTAGAATGACTGCACTCTTATCATTTCATATTTAGGATAATTAATAGCATCTGAAGGGAAGTAATACACTGCATTTAAAACAATATGTCACGATGCGGTGGAATCAGGCTCTCGTCATTTTGTGTGAACAGTTATTGGTATTATCTAACCGTTTGTTAATTTGTATTGCTTTAGTTGCCCCCCCCCCCCCAACAGGTCCAAAGTGCAAAAATTACTATGCAATTAATTAGGCTTCGAGACTATATCATAGTTTGAATATAATATAAATTATCTAATATTCAAAAACTATCATTTTTGACAGATAAAGTCAACATTCGGGTAAAACAGACACAAAATAAGAAAAAGAGAATTGCAGCAACAGTACCTGCACATGAGACGGGACGGACAGTAAAAAACTAAATTTTCACACTGTGGACCAATCCGGTTGGGGGGTGCAGATGCAGTGGGAAGAACAGGGGGGGGGGGGGGGGTGCATAATAATTTTGCCTTTTAGACTGTAACTCCAGAGACTGCAAGAAAAGAGTTTAATAAAAGACAAAACAAATAAACAAATACCCACGAACGATGTAACTTTTTCGTTTAGACGATAAATATAGCCTATGCGGTATCGCACCAGTGTTGGAAGAGAATCCACCAGAAAGACGAAGATATTGAATAAATGTATTCCTTCAACGTCATAAATGAATTTCCATCTTTACCATACTGACCTCATCCTAACTCGAAGCTATACATTCCTTCCCAGTGATAAAAGTTCACGAAATATGTTTGTAATTGATGCTGAGCACTTGTCATACCAAGAGCAGCTTTTTAATGCAGAAATCCATATTTTCTCTATCATTCTCTGCCCGTGTTAAACACAGTCGTGCCAACAAAACTCCTCCCAAAAACTGCAATCCTGTGATATGACAGCTGCAGTTAGGCCAATCGTTACGGTTTTGTATTGTGAACGATACCAAAAAAATGGAGAAACAAGTAAAAACTAGAATTATTGCGCTGGCTCCCAGGAATCGAATGAATCTCCAATAACGCGACGGGGACGCCAGAAAGTGGCTAGGATCGAGGTGTGAGAAGCACAAATGCGAATTAGGAAAAGGATTAGATTGTCGAGGACAGACGATTAAGTCCTGAGATTTATGGTAAAAAGGGACGAACTCTGTCACGAGCAACTCATCTTGAAGGTTTTTGTGTTTATATTTGTGTGTTTGAGTGTGTGTCTGAATGTGTTTGTGTGTGTGTGTTTACGCGCGAAAGAGCGGAGTATGTGTGTGTGTATGTATGTGTAGTGTGTGTGTGTGTGAGTGTGTATGTGTGTGCGATGCATTTGTGGTATGTGTGTGTGTGTGTGTGTGTGTGTGTGTGTGTGTGTGTGTGTGTGTGTGTG